ACTCACTCCACTCACTCCACTCACTCCACTCACTCCACTCACTCCACTCACTCCACTCACTCCACTCACTCTACTCACTCCACTCACTCCACTCACTCCACTCACTCCACTCACTCCACTCACTCCACTCACCACCACTCACCACCACTCACCACCACTCACCACCACTCACCACCACTCACCTCCACTCACCACCACTCACCACCACTCACCACCACTCACCACCACTCACCACCACTCACCACCACTCACTCACTCACTCACTCACTCACTCACTCACTCACTCACTCACTCACTCACTCACTCACCACCACTCACTCACCACCACTCACTCACTCACTCACTCACTCACTCACTCACTCACTCACTCACTCACTCACTCACTCACTCACTCACTCACTCACTCACTCACGCACAACCAGCACAAACATCACAAAACATTATCCTTTCCCTCTCTCTCTCTCCCACACACACACACACTGAATGGACCCACACCCACACAGAGACACACATACACACAGAACTGGCACACTGCGAAAAGCCATCCCTGCAAACACACCTCCCCTGAGCGATTCACTGACATCGTTTCTTTCCCATCCTGGCCAGCATCACAACACACATTAGCTTTGGTAGCAGCAACACCCTTCCACAGCCAAATTCCTTTCAATGTTGATGTTCAGGAGGTGATTTCACACCGCGCCCCGGTCGCCAGGAGCCGGTGATCGTGAGGCAAGCCTCATCCCGCCCCAGGGCCCCTGCCTGGATCCCTATGTAGCATGCCGCCGGCTCCGGCAGGACTTGCGATGATGAAGCCCTGGGAGGACTCTGCGAAGTCGCCTTCCAAAAGTCCTTCCTCATGGGACATCACTGACGATCCGTCCACGTCAGTCCAAGGTGAGAAGGCATGTGCAGGTCGGTTCCACCTATGTCGGGCCCTTTAAGCTAATCATTCGGCGTGATACAGGATTTCCCATGTTCAGCCCCAGCCTGCATGGCGCGGTCTCGGGCCTCGGACCAAGCCTGGCAGCATGATGGACATCCAGTATGTGTCCGAACTGGCTACAGGGCCCTTCCAATCCATAGGTGGCCCTTGGTGTCGTCTTAGCATGGTCCCTAGCAAGTCCTAGTCTTGTCTCATGCCCCCAACTGACCACGAAGGCCAAGCAATCTCGGCATTATTGCTAAGGCCACTACCTGATTGAGGCGCGGCAGGAAGTTTCCTCAGCTAGCAAATGCAAGACATTGAGTGACCCTGCATGGGTTTTTACCAATGGCTTCTGCGATGGTACACACAGAAGTCCTTTAAAGTGCACGCTGGAACCCGTTTATTAGAACGCGTTTGGGGTGTAGCGAAAGGACTTGCAACTCGAGTAAGCAACAGAACACCGACCCGTGACTTGATCTCGAGTCAGCCGAGCAGCTTCCCAGGACTTTCTTGGGGCCATCGCCCTGCTGAGTCACTGACCTGAGCAAGCGGCAACTGTTTGAGCACTGTGATTGATGACAACTGGGAAGTATCCCTAAGCCTGCATCCTTCTTCGAAACTTGCGATGGCTTCCGAGCTACCTACAACAAGCTGTGCACACTAGACATCCTCCTGACATCTGATCCAGGTTTCCTCTGAGAGCAAGGCCCAAATGGGCAGTCCTCCGAGAACGGCGACTCTAGGATAAGGTTCTCGAAGAACAAGTTCTCGTTCTGGCGAGAAAAAAGAATGTGCCCTCCCGGGTCGTTTTTGTGCCCCTGCCTTGGAGTGCGTGGAGAAGTAGTGATTCAAATGCTTTTCCAGCTGAAAGTCCCGATACTTTCCTGCAATGCGTCTGTCGGCCATTGGCAGCCCAGGCACTGTGCACACATTGGGAGACAATTGTCTGCGCACAAGAAAACAAAAGGTGTTGAAGCTTCTGTGAGAAGGATAACGTCTGTCATGGACACTAGATGAATTACGTGTCTATAGTATATATTTCTATACACATGCATGTATTGCATATGAATTGTACCTGTATATTGTAAACACATTCTAATTTATATTTGTATGTCCTTAAACATTAACAACACGCACAATACGCCGTAGAAACATGCACGTTGATCAACCGGTCCGGTCCAGTCCTTTCACGTCGGTCAGTTTCTGCCAGGTCCATTCGCTGGTCGCCGGCCAATCCTTCATGAGCCCCATGACAACCACTGGCTGCTGGTGGCGGAACTGGCTTTCGAACAACTCCAGGCTAAAGTCCATGATGTCCACCTACCCGATCATCGTGAGGCCGGTCGGAGGGTACCCCGAAGATGACTTTCCTCTTGCAGGGAGCCTGGGGAAGGCTTCGTGGAACTGGTGGGAGGGGCCTCAGCATAAGCCAAATGGCTAAACTAAGATTGTTTTGGAAAGTAATATACACAACCTGTCCAAGCAGCCAAAAAGGTGAACCACAACATGTCGTTGTTTGCCGGAACCCAAACGGAAAGAGCCAAACAATCTCATCAATTTCACCGCACAAACTTAATCTCAAATAGCGTGGCTGTTCAACAAAATAGCAACACGGGGTGTAACTTTCAGATTAACATTGAAACGATTCCGAATCTTGAGCTCTGGGCAAACTTGCTTGCAACATAGATTCTGCAGTTTTGCTTGGCGCTCAAATGGCAGTTGCTCAAACAAACATCGGCCACTGTACCTCTGCGGGCTTCTGTCCAGTTGCATCTTGCCTTCAACGAGTCCAAACCACCCGTTCTTTGTGTTTGGTGGCTCAGGGCCGAGGCCACTACTCGCAACGCGGGAGACATGGAAATCTATGCCGATGCAATCAATGCCTACGCGAGCCTTACTTGGTGCGACCCAACGGGATGGTTTGTTTGCCTTGTTGCCCATGTGTGTGTTCAAGCCTTATGTGCGATCCAATCGCGACCGTGCCCAGCACAGGTGGGTTTTCCAGGGTCTAGGCATTGAGGCTTCACCTTGGCAACAATCTTCGGCAGAGCCTTGGTGACATACCGCTGGAGCTCGCCGCTGCCTCGGGCGATACGTCTCAAAGTGGTTGGATGGGGCCGCATTTTGCTTGTTTCATACCTGGTTTGTCACCGTGCAAAAGATGAACATGCATGAACGCATGCATGTATTCCATGGAGAAGCTCTGTGCTGGCAATTCGAGGCTATTGCTTTCCCTCTGCCGCTCGATTTTGAGATGTGGGCAGGGTTCTGGTTCTGGCTGTTTAGTCACTGAAACAGGGTGGGGCTTGCATAGGCAGTGTCCCCCTTCCCCATGGCTTAAGCAGGGTTAGGAATGGTGGACATGACGCTTTGTCCTACCTCCAGTCAGCCAAAGACCATCCCTGACCCGCCAAAACTAACCCCGAAGCGGTACAATACCGATCGAACTCATAAACAGCAAGGACTCTGCCCTGAAGCAACCTGAAGCAGCTGAAATAGCCCCAAATCTGCCGGCGATTCAAGCAACCAAGCAACGCAGCAGCCAAGCAACACAGCAAGCAAACAAGCAACAAAGCAGAAAACAGCCAAGCAGCCAAGCGATGAAAGCATTCAAGCAGCCAAGAAACAAAGCAAGCAGACAACCAACCAATCGCCTGCCAGCATGAAGGACGTACCAAGGCTGGAAAGAAAGCGCTTTCCCTTTGGATGGGGATTTACAAAACTATTTTGGGGAAATCATCCCGCGCAACCACTTTGGAAACCTAGGAAAGACAGGCGACCTGCAGGTACAACCATAAACGGCCAGATTGGGAGACGCAGCAGGAAAACTTGAAGGGTGCCCCTCATCCGTCCACTGAAACCATCTGGCACAACATCGGCTTTTTGTGTCCTTGTGCAAGTGGGCCATGCCACCAATAGACTGAAGCAACCGATAAATCACATAGTTGACATATGTTGACATATGTTGACATATTTGGCTTTCTGTCAGTGACATATTTACATAGTGGTGCATCCTCTTATTTCCGGGCGTCCGGTGCTCCACTTCACGTTTGCATGGCACGCTAAATATCGCAAGTACGCTAATCCCATATAATGGGTAAAGTTACAGTGTGTCTCCTCCCCGCGGCTTCAACTGGGCCCTTCCCCCCCCCCCCGGGCCCCACAGTGATTGCCTGGCCTAGCTCGTACTCCGGGCCAAGGCTGGTGCCTTTCCGTCCCGTCCAGGACTTAGGCGCCCAGGGGTTAAGATCCTCCCACCATGCGCCGTTCACGGCCTTGAGAAGTAGCACAACTTTGGTGCACTTCATGGGAACTTCTCACGGTTCCGTGGCAAAGGGCCATTCTTGCGACCAACCGAATTTTTGACGGGCTGTGAAAATGAAATGCGGCACCTCTGCGGGCAGTAGGATTTCGGGGGCAAGGGATGAACAAATCATAAGGTCACAAAAGGATCTTCGGAACACAACCCTGACAACATTTAGCTGGTGACATGGTAGTGGCCTGTGACCCAAAGTTGACTCTAGGTTCAAATTAGTGACCTATGTGGGACGCCTTGAAAAACACCCAAGATGAAGCCGACCAATCGGAAAGAGCCAACATGTTCGTTTTTAGCATGCTTGCAATTGCCTTTAGCAGTCTCACTATATTTGTCCTTGAGCCGACGCAGCACGACGCCGACTTGGCAGCTGCAAGCGCTGCATTTGTCATGCGCTTCAGGGCAGAAAATTGGGAAGGTACCCCTTTGGGAGTTGTTCCGCAAGGCAAACCAAGTTGGCGTGTGAGACCCCCAATTCAAAATGTGCGCTTTGGATTGATTTTCGTTTAACCAACCCCAAAAATGGTTATTACCCTCAACCAGACTCTAACTAAGGTCAGTGAAGGCGCAAGCGGGCGGCACCAGGTCCAAAGGACGCTTCGGCTCCGGCTCGGGCTCGGCACCTATCGGCAAGTCTGAGGCCTGAAACAGCCAACAGCATATTAACACGATACTCGTTCTAGATTGCAAAGCATCTCAGGTGGCATCTCCAGCAACCCCTGGAACCATTCCGGAACCCTAGCCTAAAGCCGCTTCGAATCACTCGGGAGTCCATAGCTTTCAGCTGTTGGAGAAAACATGAAATATGTTATTTGATTGGTCTCCCCATGTCTCCCCCGTTCCAAGTGTTTGTTTTTTTTTTCAATTTCTACGTTGAGATATTTGAGGCCAAACACAACACCAAATCCAAAGGACAAATGGAGGTGATGCAAATCCCGCAGTCCCTGCAGTAGCACAAACGTTGGCTACCATTCGCGACGCCCATTCATTGGCATTGACAAAGGGATCGGAATCTCTTGCTTGTACCTTCAACGCTTCACTGCCTGCGGCGAAGGGGTCGTACTCGTCGTTGGCTGTGGCCACAGCCTGTCCATGTTTCCGGGATACTACCCAATTTGAACAAATGCTGCAAATTTCACTCCAAATCGTACATCGGCCTGAGAGGCCTGTGGCGGTGGAGGCGGCGGAGGCAATGGCATCGGGTGAGACGCGTTCGTCTGCTCCTCACGGGGACGTCTGGAAGGCAAGCCAAAATCCTTGCTGAAATGCTACTTCCCGGATTGACTCACCTGCAAATCAAAACGGAAACCCGACAAGCATTCTTCTAGAGCATTCCACTTTTACTTTCTTTGGGAGCATCATCTTGAGGATCCATGTTCAGTCGCAGTGAATCTCTGCGGCTAATAGTAGCGCACACAAAGGTGTTTCTGTTCAACTGCATATCATCATGTGAGGCTGATATGGTGCTGCTGTGCCTCTTTCGTGCAACCACCCAAGTATCAGGGGATGTTGGCTCCAGGATGTGTGTCTATGGTGTGCATGTGGTACCCCCATTTTTTCCAAACGAACACTCGGTGCGCCACACCATCAAAGCATGGAAACAGTCACTCATTTGTGCTCTGCAGCATTTGAAACATGCACATCATGTGGTTTTTGAGGCCCAATTAGTCAGTCAGCCCATCGTTTGAGTGGAATCGAAGCTTTAAAGCACTTCAACAACCAAGATCGCGAAGGACGCTTGGCCGACCAAGCTTCTTAATAATTGAGAACCAACATTGTTTCCAAAGCCAGCAATAAGTGATCTCCAAGTAAAAGACCTACAGCACATCATGGCTTTCACTTGTTTCATCCCCCGAACCGGTGCCCTCACCGTAAAATGTGCAGGACAGGGATCGGGCCGGCCTCTGGACTGGGCGCCTCAACGCATTCCGTTGGCTTTTGAAAAAAAAAAATGATTGTTTACCTTCTTGAGTTGATACCCTTCTCAGCGCTTCCGGTCGAGCTCTTTGGTGGTGCCATTTTGAGACACACGTCTGTGTCCTTAAATTGGGGATCCTCTTCTGGAGGCATACAGTAGTATAAAGGACACACTCATGACACCACGAGGTCTCGTTGTTTGGAACATACTCCTGCATCGGGGGTAGTGGAGTTCGAGTAGGCTGACACCATAACTGTGACACTTCCCAATTTCTGCGACCTTAAACAAGCCTTGATCTCCAAAAGCCAGGGACTTGGATTGCATATTGAAGTCATCCTTGCCAAACAGTCTACAATTGCTCTTTGTACACCGACCGCTTGAAGGGGAGTAGGATTTAGCAATGCAACGGCAATCCACGGGATTTATCCCTCATCCTGGGCACTCTGCAAGCTTGGCATTGCTTGCCTTGGTACTACGTGCTCACTAAACAAAGATTGGTTCCATGTTGGTTGCCCACTGAAGTGGACCACAAAGGGATCCTGAATTGACCGTGGCATCATGAGATCCCGTTCCTTCTGAACTTCTGTTGGCTGAACAATGTCATGGCTAGAGGTACTTACTACGTAGTATGTCTGGCTGCCGTCCATTTCTGAATTGCCCACCTGAGCCATTCCAAAGTCCGAATCGATCTCCACCGTGGTGGCAACCATCTTGCCGGTGGCCGGGTCCCATTCCTGGCGCTCAAACGGGCAAAAGCGATCCATCAGCTGCGAGCGCAAACCCGGCGGCACTGCGAAAACCTCGTGCTTCTGCCTTGCCGGTGTAGACGCCTGCAGCACTCATCCGGTTTCGGCTTCCCTGCGACCTCCATGGAAGACTGGCACTATCCAAAGGACTGGCATGTGTGACAATTGCACAGATCGAGTGGAAGTTTGCCCAAATGCTAAGGTGCCAGCTGGCGCAGGAACCGGGCCAGGGGTAGCTGGAGTCGCGGGGGTGAAGCCAATGCCTCCAGGCGGGCACAGCAAGAAACTCAAAAACCTATTCCAAGCATGGCCTATCTTGAGCACCACTCCACATTGCAAAGTCCAAACACAATTTCGCCCAAGCTTTGAGCTCCCTGCCAGCCCTTGTTGCTGTCGGGACCTGCAACAAGCATTAGCCAGCACCAGTGCGGACCACCTAGCTGGCCACGTGTCCCGCTCAAATCTTGCGGCGTTGGCTGTCTAGACAACCAACCTGTCCCAATTTTACGACTGGCTACTGGCTGCTGTTTGTGTATTCAAAAGATCATTTGCTAAGGTGCGGACCAGCGAGGGAGGACCTCAATACACATCCATAATCTTGCAAGTTGGGTCAACCAAATTGTGTGTGGTGGGCATGCTTCCTGCATTTTCTATGAACAGCAAACGTTGACCGCCTCCGCCCACGCGGCTGCAAGACTATCGAACGTGGTGAGAGGATTCTAAGAACGACCCACAGCGAGGATACCTAGCGCCTACGTAGTAAAGACGCGCACTGGGGAAATGTATTAAGGCTGCCAGGGTGTGTGTGTGTGTGTGTATGCTGTGGAGGCTGACTGCGAAAGATGGCTGTTCTGTTGCAAGGTGCTGGAAACTGCTGAGCCAAGTCTCAAACCACATTGATCGATGCAGCGCTATTGTGGCAACAAAGCTCACGCACGAAAGGACCAGGTGCAGCTCACGTGCCAAAACCTTGCAGAATCTGACCACTGAAACTTGCTCGAACTCCGAGAAAAACAAGCTGCTGCCGGCTCATGCTGTTCTCACTCTTACGAGCTGCTCAAAACCGTGTCCCCAAGAACAAGCACTAATATTGATCAGGACATGCTCGGACAAATTCCTGGATGTACGAGTGTCATATATATATATAATATGTATATAATTATTCATAACATCATACATACACATGAATGTACCATCGCAAGCTCTACAGATTCAAATGCACTGCGTGCTGAGCGTGTGTGTGTGTGTGTCTCTCTCTCTCTCTCTTTCAATCACGCCAAAGTGCGATGCCATCTTTTGACGAAAGTCTGAGACCTCTGCCGGGACTTGGAGGCATCTTGGCTCTTGTGGTCACTGCCGGCCTAAGCCAGCGAACTCGCACTTCAAAAAAGCTTCCCTATTGACAACAGCGCAGCCTTGAGCCCCAGGCAAAGGCATATGAGACTGTGCCTGAAGGAAGGCAAGGGATCTCATCCATGGTGTGCATGTGGCGTGGGGGTGGAATGGTGGAATTCCAACAATTATGTTTGGCGCAGCTTGCAGAATTGCTTAGCTGTTCGTGACCAGGGACGTGCGCAAAAAGTCGCTCATGCACCATGCCGCTGGTAAGTTGCCGACTGCCCATGGCGCTATTCCTGGCATGGTTGCAAGAATGAAGCCCCAGAGTGACATGCGCACATGTTCAAACTGTCTTGATTACAGGACCTTACAGTATCTTGATAGGAATGCTGTGGACCTGAGGGCACGCCGGGCGGCATTTTTTAGAGTTTTCATACCTGCGCCCAGGCAGGCGGCGGCGCCTCAAAGGCGAGTTTCAGCTTTGGGAACTCGTAGCGCCAGCTGTGCAGCCAAATCGGAGGGTCGAGGCGCGGCTTTGGCTCCTCCCCATCTAACAGCCGCTGGTAATACTCGCAGGCGAGGCAGAAACGCCGCACATCGCGGCGCATCATCTCCTGAGAACTGGGGCCTCCGAAAACCTCCGGCGGCTCGTCAGTTATTGCGCCTCCGTAGAGGGGGTCGTTGCAAATGGGCCAGCCCCCATACTGCAAGTGGCACCGAATCTGGTGCAGTCGCCCAGTGAGGGGCTGGACTGCCACTGTGGATGTGCCATCTTCATGAGGCCACACTTGGCTGATCAACGTCTCTGCTGGCTTGCCATCGGGAGAAACCAAAGCCATCTGCTTGGCGTTTTCCACGTGACGGATCAAGTTGGCACATATCCTTTGTCCGGCACTTGGTGTTCCCAACACCCTCGCCAAATAGGTCTTTCGTACCTTGCGCTGTGAGATGGTGCGCTGTATTCGAGAAGCGGCCTTCTTGTGCTTGGCGAAGCAAAGAACGCCCGATACGGGTTTGTCAATTCGGTGGGCTGGCATCAGCTTGCCATGGCCTGCTGCTTCCAGCATGCCCAGCAGGGACAGCCTCACACTTCCTCCCATTGGATTTGGGAAAATATCCACACCTGCAGGTTTCGAAACTACGAAAAAGTCCTGATCTTCATGAATGATTGAAATGTTAACGGTTGCAGTTGCTCTTTCATGCACATGAATCATGAGGCGCACCCGGTCTTCCTTGTGCACCAAATGACTCTCATTGATCTGCTCCAGTTCCACATGCTGCCATCTGCACCGCTCAACCTGAACCTTCCCAAGTTTCATCTGTTCCAGCCACCAGTCCGGGGATATCCGCTCGAAGATCGGCAGCAAAGCTTCGCCGCTCGTATTCACACGCGCAGCACGCAGTGCGTCTCCAAGCCGCTGTCCGGCGATGCATTTCAACCTCTGGCGAACTTGCACGTCGTAAGGAGGGACGTATTGGATCCCCGATTCGACCAGCGGAAGGATGGCGCAAAGAAAGCCAGGACAGCAAACACATAGAGCACAAACCAAAGAGCGCACACGCCTTGGGGTTGACTTGCCCATTGTACTGTGCTCGAGCCAGGCATTGAACTTGAGCCGCAAATTGAAGGCAATAAGCATAATATAAGCAACAACCTTTATTTGCTATACAAACAGCGACTGATCTGTGCTGGGCTCTGTTTCAACGCAAGCAGCATTGACAAAATCGGACAAACGCGTACATGTGTAGGCAGCCCTACAAAGGTTGGTTTTAGTCAGTGTTCAATGGTGGATGGCGATTGATCTATTGCAGAAAAACGGCTGGTTCAAGCTTGGCTGCCGCAACATCCCATGATTCAACATCCCACATGATTCAGCAAAACTTGGCAAAAATCCAAGCAAATGAGGGGTGCTGAGCAAATGGTAACGTGAGAGTTGATGCACATTTGAGCTTTGATCAATGGTGGCAAACCTTGCCCAAACCCTAGGCCAAACGACTTCACATGGCCAGGGTCGTACTTATGTGGGGCCAGAATTTTGATCAACCCGGATCACGTCAATAGAGAATATGCGTATTGATGTGTGGCAGCTGATCAATATGCCTGGTTCTGGACGACGCCGTCTTTGCAAAAAAAAACAAAAACAACTCTTTGGCAAACCGTTCGCGCTCCATCGCCGCGCCCTTTTGTTTGCAGCGAGCGCTCCAGAGCCATCGTCGCTGCTGCAGGTACGTTGCAAACGCTGTGGACACGCCGTTCCCTTCTGTTGGCAGGCTTGCAGCGCAAAGTGAAAGCCGTCAAGTCACGATCATTCGCCCGTTTCAGCTGTGCTTGGCGGGAATGCCCCGTCCTGGTTCCAATGTGAAGGACTTTGCAACAAGCTCCATGGCTTTGCGGCGGACTTTCGCGGATCTTTCGCGGAACTTGCTGCAAAATGGCTCAGCCAACGTTTTGGTTTTGCACCACTCCCAGCACAAGCAGGGAATCAAGGATGCAAATAAATGAAGGTGCTGCGCATCGCCCTGTCTACAAGGCCATAGGGGGTCTGCAAACATTGCATGCAAGCACGGCTCCAAGAAGCCTTCGCTAGCCGTTCGCAGACAAACAATTATCTTTATTCTCTTTCGCAAACTCCTTCGCTATAGCTCTCCACGTATATGTATATATATAGCATTAAGACATTGCATTCCCTCCCAGCAGTATCATTAGCAACTGTGCTCCATCAAAGCATGCAATGGCTCAGGTTTTCACAGAGCCCGAAACCTGATTTTAAAAGCTTACAAACTGCTCTCAGGCTCTAGAGTCCGGATTGAGATTCAAAATAAGAAAGCAAGAACGCTACAAAGCTTTTGGACAGGGCTTTGAGTGGTTTTTTTGGTGTTTTTTTTTTTGGAACATTCCAAAGCCAAGCGTCAGAAATTCGGAGGCGGAGAGAAAATAGAAACGGCCTAAACATTTTGCATATCCTGATTGCGGAAAAGCACAAGACTTTTCTCATATCACACAAACCCCAAAACCTTGACAATCACTAGACATCGTCATTTTTTTTGAGTTTCCTTTATCTTCCCACCTGATTCACATATTCAATATGTTTCTCTCAGTTTGCTCCAGCAAAGTTTCCGGAACCCGCCCTTGAAATGCCTACACTATTGATCTCAGAAGCTTGTTTATCTTTCTCCTGCTTCACTGTAACACTCCGCGTGCAGGTCTAATATGTCTAGCTGTGTGGGGGCTGGATAGTTCTGCTGGCCACTGCGCAACCCAAATTCATGACGCATCTTGGTTGTAAGCCTAACGCGTGAACACTTTGGTACCCACCCCAAAATAAAAGCGAATATCAAGATTAGAAGTGCTGCACTGGTTTTCAAGAGGCCTCATATTTACCCACAAAAATTCACCTCAACAAAGCAAAGCCCTTTCCCCTGGTTCCGAACCGGAGTCGCGCACCCAAGCCTGGAGATGGTGCAGGAGGCGGCGGCCTTGCGCCAAAATCCGCTTGGGTCGAACAAACACGGGTTGGATGTGCTTCGAGGCCACTTTGCTACGACTCAGTTTGAGGTCTTCAAAAGGCCCACAAACCCTTTAGAAACTGTGAAAGGAGGCCCGTTGCAGATTCAACTCTTGGGGCCGTGCGTTCCACCGAATTTCTTTACCCCCCGCAGGCTCACTTGGCGCCCAGCCCATTTGTTCTGCAAAATGCTTACGAATGTGTGCGGCTGAACGTGTGTGTGAAATCTCTTGGCTCATGGAGCCTGAGGGCCACTGCTTTTTCACTTCTCTTACGAGCAGATTGTGTGGAGACACCAGCACTGCTTCTCCACCAACGAAGCTGGCAATGCGTGGTGAAGGTATCTGCTTGCGACGCCACAGTGACGTATCTGCGATGTGACAACCTTTGTGATTTGCTGTCGCTTTGCCTTTCCAACCCCTTCGTTCCGGCTTGATGCGGACCCTCCGAAGCTCAGCACCGCCTGCAGCATGCGTTGCAGTCAGTGCAAAAGCGTGGGTGGGTGGGTGGGTGGGTGGGTGGGTGGGTGGGTGGGCGGGTGTATGGGAGTGTGTGTGTGTGTGTGTGCGCGTTTGCGTCTGCCTGTCAGGCCGGCTGCCTGCCTGGCCGGCCGCTTGGCCAGCATTTTGTTTGTTTGTTTGTTTGCTTGCTTGTTTGTTTGTTTGCTTCATTGTTTGTTTGTTTGTTTGTTTGCTGGCTTGTTTGTTTGTTTGCTGGTGTGTGTTGTGCTTGCTTGCTTGTTTGCTTGTTTGCTTGTTTGCTTGTTTGCTTGTTTGCTTGCTTGCTTGTTTCCTTGCTTCTTTGCTTCTTTGTTTCTTTGCTTGTTTGCTTGTTTGTTTGCTTGTTTGCTTGCTTGTTTGCTTCTTTGTTTGTTTGTGTGTTTACTGGCTTGTTTGTTTGTTTGCTGGTGTGTGTTGTGTTTGCTTGTTTGCTTGTTTGCTTGTTTGCTTGTTTCCTTGCTTCTTTGCTTCTTTGTTTCTTTGCTTGTTTGCTTGTTGGTTGGTTTGGTTGGATTGGTTGGATTGGTTGGTTGTTTTGTGTTGCAATAGTATTGTTCTTGCTTTTGCTTTTGCCGCTGTCTCTCCGTTTCTGAATATGCGATGCGCTTGTAAGACTGTCTGTCTGCTTGTGTGTTTGTGCATGCGTGTGTGTGTGTGTGTGTGTCTTTCTGTTTGGGTTGATGAGGTGCAGAAACAGTCATCGGCCTCTGAGCGCCAAATCGGCACAACTCGATAAGGCGTCAGAGGGACAAAATGTAGGCGAAGCTTGGAAAACACAACCTGAGAAGAAATATTTTCAGGGACCGCCACAGAGATGGCTCCCGGGCAGTTTGCAGCGCAGTATTGCAGATTGGCAGCCGTACCCAAGGCACCAAACACTCCCAACACAAAATGCATCCCTTCATCATCAACTGGCCTCCCCCGCGTGCACAGCGGAACCAAGATACTGAAGTCTTGGCGCATCCCCAGCGAGCACTTTAGCGCATTGTCTCGCTGTCATACACCCAGCGAGTGCGTTGCACTTGCTGGGAGCGTTGGCCTGAAAGATGCCAGGTCACTGCCAGGAGGCGGCGAAATGCCGGCCTTGGGAAAACATGTTCCCCGAGGGCAGATCCTGCGCATGTGCGCCCCACACTCGGCCAACAGTGTGCAGAAGGTAAAACTTCTTGGGTAGGGCCACACAGCGCAAACATCGCAACTCCCAACAAAGCCCGGCAACGCGTGAGTTGCGCACAGGCCACATCCAATATCCACAAATTCAAGCTCTGTAGAACCCGCTCCCTGTTTTCAGGACCTGCGCTGCACTTGTAAGACTGTCTGTCTGCTTGTGTGTTTGTGCATGCGGGTGTGTGTGTGTGTCTTGCTGTTTGGGTTGATGCATCGGCCTCTGAGCGCCAAATCGGCACAACTCGACAAGGCGTCAGAGAGACAAAATGAAGGCGAAGCTTGGAAAACACAACCTGAGGGGAAAGATTTTCAGGGACCGCCACAGAGATGGCTACCGGGCAGTTTGCAGTGCAGTATTGCAGATTGGCAGCCGTACCCAAGGCACCAAACACTCCCAACACAAAATGCATCATCCACTGGCCTCCCCCGCATGCACAGCGGAACCAAGATACTGAAGCCTTGGCGCATCCCCAGCGAGCACTTTAGCGCATTGTCTCGCTGTCATACACCCAGCAAGTGCGTTGCACTTGCTGGGAGCGTTGGCCTGAAAGATGCCAGGTCACTGCCAGGAGGCGGCGAAATGCCGGCCTTGGGAAAACATGTTCCCCGAGGGCAGATCCTGCGCATGTGCGCCCCACACTCGGCCAGCAGTGTGCAGAAGGTAAACTTCTTGGGTAGGGCCACGCAGCACCCACAGATGCCAGCAGCAAGCGGCGCACGCTTCGAAGACATACACACACACACACAACACACACACACACGCATGCCCGGCAATCTCCCCGTCTTTCTGAAGTATGCCCATGTCACACAGGAAACAGGGACTGTAAGACCTGTTTGTGTGCCTGCAAGCTACGTTTGCGAGGGGTGAAATAGTCCACGCTCCCTTACCGCAAGCGACAGCGAGTCATAAAGTATTCAAAAGATAAACAAACACCAGGGGTGACATGATGACATGGACACCAAAATCAAAGCACACCTCAGCTGATGAATTTATCCTAGGGCTTCGCCATCACCAGCTGCGCTGGACGGTCGGACCAACCCACACACCGCGCGCCCACCCAAGCACGCGAGCGAACCTACGCGCGCAAGAGGCTGCAAGGTTGCTTGCCCAACCCCCCTTGACACTGAGCACGCACTCACCCGCCCTAGCTTGAGTGCATGTGCGCCTGCTTGCGTCCGGCTTGCGTCCGGCGCGCGCGCACCGCGGGTCTCACACCGAAAGCCAATCAGACCAACAAATGCATCCCCGGCAGCCCGTCCCAGCCCCACAGAGACCCGTGAAAATGAAGAAAAACACAGTATGCGCATGTATGTGCGATGTTTTCCGCGCAGCGGCGGCAGCCGCGCTTGCGCGAGAAAAAAAACGCGCACTCGATCGCAGACTTGCCCGCCATGTCTGCCTGCCGCCAAGGTGAGAGTAGGGGGGCCATTTTTGAAGGGTTCGAGCGATGCAGGGATGCTGGAACGCCCAGATGCTGGTGATGCAGGAATGCCGGGGATGCTGGCTGGCAGAGCTTGCGAGGATGCAGAGGATGTTGGCGGGGATGCTGGCGACTGTCCGGGGCGATCTGCACGGCATTTACAGTGTTTTTTGAAGGTCGGGCAACGTGGCATCAGAAGCCCGTCGCAAGGCCAGGGAGGCTGGGGATGCTTCGGGGTCCAAGTGTTTGGGCCGGCCTGCGTGCAGGTGATGTACGGGTAGGGTTGCCCTCGCTCTTCGAGCTCGAAGACACACAGCGCAGCTGGATTTTGAAGCAACTGAAATGTTGGGGGCCTCACAGGATTGACAACATGGATTCAGCATGATTCAGGCATGGGTCAGTAACCGGTGCCTGAGCACCAAACAACGCTAGCCTCAAGCACACAAGCGGGTAAGCGACCCTGTAGTTCTGCAACTTGCACTGAGTTCGTGCGCACAGTTGAGATTGTAGAAATAATGGCGAAAGCAGACAACCACTGGATGAATAGCGCAGAACCCAGGTGGTGATTTCCACCACGGGAAGCCCCAACTTCCGGAGCCTTGAGCGCCAAACAAGGTCTCCCGGGGGCTCTGTTGTGAACTGTGACAACTTCGTTCTCAGGGAGCGGCGGAGGCAGCGGCAATGGCTGCGAGGGCCTGGGAAAGCCCCCCCCCATGTCCGCCCCCGAACCGTGGACTACCAATCCTTGTCGGTGCCAGCGAAAACTGGGTATGGTCCGGGTACACTTTGCTCCAAAAAGATCCCCATAGAGATGCTTGAGACACAACAACTTGCCACGAAATGTTCCAAGGGCTGTTTCCGATTCGCACTGTCGGCGCAGTCAGGTAGCTACTTAGACCCGGCAGAGTCCTCGCCAGAGTCCTCGCGGACACCAGACTAGGCCAATTGTCATGTCGAAGTGGCTCTTTGAAGTTCATGGCCATGCATTGGGGACAGCAAGTTCGCTCGGGAGCCCAAACTTGGGCTGTGGGATGCACGGATCGACAAACCTGGTCCATTTCCAAACCACAAGTAGGTGGTGCAAGCCCGAGCAAAAACCAGCCCCCATCCATCACGGCACTCGCAGGCCGGAGCGAGCTGAGGCGGTGCACGCTAGCAACATTCCAGGTTTGTCGACATGACGACGGGCAAATGCTAACTAGTGTACAATTCTAATTAAATGTTTATGACAAAATTGGACCCGCAAGCTGCCGAGAGACTACCAGGGCATATATCCGTGGCACTCAGGCATCTGTTGATAGCACTCCATCTCGGCTTCTGCATTTGGGTTCACCTGACACATGTTGTCGCGAGTGCAAGGAATAAGTCTTTGCACAAATTCCAGGGACAAGGTGTCTTCTTATTGAATTGTTGAAGGTCGAGCTGAAACTGCTCGCCCAATCAGGGTGGGTGTGCGCAGAAACAGTGACTTCTCATGGCTGCCACGCCAGGTCCTCTTTATAGTCGTCCCCAACAGGGTCTCTACCTTCTGACACACAGCCAGGCAACCAACGCTGTAGCATGGAAACTGCACAGTTCTCTCTCTCTCTCTCTCTCTCTATATATATATATATATCTAGCCTCGCAACAGTAAATTTCCGACAACTGCTATGTCATCTGCTTTCAGCGCATTTGCTGATTCGAGTGGTTGTTTCACTGCATGGGCGTACGCGGGTGATAGACAGTGTTTGCCTGCGTGGCTCTACGGAGCGGAACAATAATACAGGGGGAGAGACGAGGGGCAAACGACTCTCAGCCACCAGGCCGGGTCGTCAAGGACTTGACTCACGCAAGCCGCGCAAGGGACGCTCGACGATCTGCGATCTCAACGTCAAAAAGTATCTCTCTCCCTCTCTCCCCGGGCACCCGTCTACGTTCTAGCTGGGGATTCCGGCAAGTTGGATTTTGGATTTTTGAAATTTAGGCACCCAATAACCTTGAAAGATCAATGCTTGGATCCTATGTCTCTTGGAAACAAGGACATGTTTATATTAAATATGCTCGTTGCCCCGGCATTTTGCAGCAAACATGCACACCTGGTGCCAAGTTAAATATGGCTCGCGACCCACCACCCCCCCTCCGAAGTCTGAGGCTACCACAGCGGCGACGGCAAGGCGCTTGGCTGCGTCTGTGGCCTAGCCGGCTGGCCACGCTCCAGCGGAGCAACAAACACATGACACTCAAAAGAAAGGCTGTAAGGGCCCCAAATGCAAAGCTGGCTTCAGCCAAAGCCACCCAGCCACTCAGCATGACTGCATCGGCTAAGGTCAGTGCCAGCGCAAGGGATCCACATCGTACCTGTTGCTGAATACAATGTGTTCTGCCTCTTGTGTAAGTATCGAAGATTCTATGCGCCAGAAAGCCAGTCCACGCCCCTTCGGTGGCGTCTTTTCGCATACATTGGCGATTTGCATTCACTTAGGCAGATCGTGTTTTCTCTGGGGCACTTCTGGCAAATACTGCGATAGAGGAACTCCTCTTGTCCACGATACCTCAAGCACTGACAGCAACGGCTCAAGCTGCATTCTGGGCGTTCTAGGTCCAGCCAGTGCCAAACAATATGACAGTCTCTGATAGAAACAATCGCGACTTGACCATGTCACCTTCCCGTTTTTGAGGGAGGGCATGGCCCTGAAAACGTAGAAAGTCCATGGGTCGTTTGCCTTTCGTAGCGATCTTGGGCTGTTGCTTCTCCAGGAGGTAATCAACCTTCATCACGTTGTCCGGCTTGTAAATCGCGTAGAGCTCCACAATGCGCTTTCGGTACCTCACAAAAGCGCATCGAGGCATCTGAAAACCCAGGGGTGGATATGCAATGATCATGAACAAGTATGAAAAGCATCTTTTCGACGTCAGTTTGGGCAGGTTTCTGTCGCTTGATTCCATTCTGCTCTGAGGTGCTTCAATCCCCAAAGAATCCGACACGTCCCGGGGCACTCTGCCAGCGACATGGTGTTCTTCATGCCACCCCCAAGGCTTGGGGGACCTATGCCTGGAAACTCAGTTTCGCCGCACAGGGTGAATGCTCAAAACCGGCAGTTCCCAAGAATCTCTCCTGGTCGCTGGCAGTTTAACTTCCTGTTCAACACCCTCAACGTCACCTCCAACACATTCCCAACCAGTTGAGCCGATACCTCCACATGAAGCCGGGGGCGGACGCTGAATTGGCGTCAAAAGTACGAGCCTTGCATCGCCATCGGAGCCGCCTGGACCAAGTTGCTCCGTGAACAAAATAATGATCAGGAACTGGCAAACTGGCACCAGCTGTCGCTTGTCATGGGCAATGGGTAACTTGCGGTAACTTGCATACTGCGCGTGGAAGCCGCGTGAAGTCTCTGTTTGCTTCGGGAGGGGAGGGAACCCAATGGAATAGGATCCACATTCAGATGTTTGATGGGTTGGCTTAGGGCCAAGGGCTCGTTTTATTCAGGATTTAGGTTTGAACTGGGGCCCATTCAGTTCGGATTTGACTCGGTTTAGAGGTTAGCTAGGATACATTTCGGGCTGGAATAGATTGGGTTTTGATTAGTTTATTTTGGATTACGGTGAGTGTGTTTTGGGCTGGCTTAGGGTTCATTTAGGCCGTTGTGGTTTCCCTTGCTGGAAACCTTGAGCTCGCTCATTCCCAGAACCCATGTTGATTCCCTACTGAGAACCAGCAAGATTAATCGCTTGTGCTTAGCCAAGGGTTGCTATGCGTTGAGCGCGCGGGAGGACTAAGGTGGATTCTTGCCCAAGGCAGGGCTTCGGCGTTTCCACTCATTAGAAGCAAAGGCTGAAGTACTTCAAGCCTTGTGGGCCCTCGTAGGTGAGACCCCAAACGAGCCAAGTTGCCCTAGTTTCCCTTTTCAACCACCCTAAAGGCGAACCAACTCCACACAAAAAAGGAAAATAAATGGGGAGGGATCGTCCAGCCATTGAATAGCCTCTCTTGGAGGCATGGGTGGGGATATGATGGCGCCAAGGAGAGTTATATCCCAAACAACACCGGATACCGAATCCGGAAAACAAAGCCACAACACAAATCAAACCACACAAACCCTATGTTGTCCGCTCTCTCATGTTATATTCTTGCCTGCGGGAACCAGTTCAACCGAGAACAGCTGCTTTTTCAAGGGTGAACCGTTTCCAAAAAGGGAAGATCCAGTGGCCATTTCTCCTAACTTCCCTTTTGAGGTTGGTTTAAAGGGAAATCGGAAACGAAAGGGAAACCGCCCATTTTGGGGTTCCGATCTCCATGGAACTCTCTTTGACAAGCCAACCACTCTAAGTTTATGGGTGAAAACTGGTTTTGAGCTCTGCGTGGCTTTGATCACACCGGACGAAACAAAACTGGCGTGCTTTCTATTTGTTCCACTTTGGCTCGTGTTCCATTTCCATTTGTGTCCTGCATCACGGGTCCCAGCAGCGGCGGGCCGGGCATTCCAGGAGCCTCACGCCAAACACGCCGCTTGACTTCGGCATGTAAAAAGACCAAGGTCGTCTTTCCAAAATGCATTCAGACTGTCTAGGGGCTAGGGTTGGTGGGCCTCTTATGACACACGCTAGCCGCTAGATTCGCGCCTGCAGACCGGGCTGATGCCATGGTGCCTGCGTGGGTGTCAAACCTTCTACAAGCCGCGGCCAAAATGCGTCCCGCCCCATTGGCATGAAATATAATGAAAACAACTTACCTGGGAATAAATAATTCGGATGATTACGAAGGAAGTAATTTTCCACCCCGAATCCATCTGAAGGGGCTTGCACATCCTAAGTGGACGGGAAAGACAAGTTCAAACTCTTGACTGTGGCTTTCGGCTCTTTTCAAAGCGGCTGAGCACTCGCATAGCCAGGAACCTCCGGCTCGCAGCTACGCAACCTATCCGAGTCTCAGAATGTCAGGCTGGTCAATCTCACTCCGCGGACCTCAAGCACCGAACACGTGCAAGTTACCTGAGAACGTGTAACTCGCATCCACCCAAAACGGTTGGTGATGGTCCGCTTCAACCATCCCAATCATGGAATCCAGTTTGACACACAGCCACATGCAGCAGTAATTCAAACCACAGCTTGGGAGGAGATTGCGCCTGCTGCATAGTTGGTCGGTGCCGCTTTGATGTTGCCGTACTTTTCGTAGATGTCTCGCATCCTCCTTTTGTGCTCCTGGAGTCTGCCACGATTGAATTGATGTCCGTCTAGGCTTGCTGCGACTTTTCACAGGATAGTCAGTCATCGGTTCCTCCTCTTCCTCTTGTCGCAACTTTGACCGGAATTCTCCTCCATCCTGCTTTGGCACTGAGTCAAGAAGCACCGAATGTTCAAGCCTTCAAAAGACCAAACCTCCCTTGCATGTCGGTTGCTTTCATTTCAGGCGCCTGCCTTGTCCGATCTGGACTTATCGCCAGCCTTTCACGCAAGAGATCTGATCTGCCAAAAACATGTCCAGCCAGCGATGAATCTGACTTCAAGTTTGCAAAACATCGTCACGCGTGTACAATGACTGTGGCCGCAACCCGTGAGTCGGGGTGGTGGTCCCGTCTTCTCGACTCATCCTTGGCGGGGCTTGCAAGATCCAGTGCTTGCATCGCACATGCCAAGCCCAGCCTCCGTCGGACGTCGAGAGTAGGTCTTGCTGTAGGAGCACACCTCAGCCACTCACGGGCCGCGTGGCAGCCACAGGCTCTCTATCCAGCGCAAAGCCATGGACAATTTAACATTACGGGTCATAACTTCGTTTTTTTTCCCCCGAGCTACACTGCAAGACTGCAAGACTGCGAGCCTTCGCGGAACACTGCCCACAAAGAATGTCAGACACGATTCGCAGCTTCAAGGCTCCAACAGCTTCCTCTCTGGCTCTTTCTCGCAGGGCCTGGCTGATGCATGACTGGCTGGCCCGCGTTGAACCTGGAGGGGGCCTTAAAAAAAGGCTCTAAACATGGGTAAGATGGGTGGTTTTACTTCTGGTTTCCCCTTGAACACTATCTGCGGTTTTGGGCGAACACGAAGTAGCCCAGGGAAGCAAATGAGCACAAAGTAGATCACGATGTACCCAAAGCACCCGGAAACACAACTGGGGTGAAGCTGTGGATGATGACCGGGTTGAGGAAGTGACGGTTGACAAAGGAGAAGTATGGGGATATTTGAAATCAAGTTGAAGAGGATTAAGTTCAATACCAAGCCCAAGTAGAACAGCGCGACCCACCGAGCACCTCCTACACCCAGCCGCCCGCGGCCCCGACCCTTTTCGGCTCGAGGACGAAGAAGGCTGCCAGTGAATGGCGCTCGAGCGTGAGTCCTATTCCCACTTGACGGGAGGTAAAAACTTGAGCCAAACGGCCATTCGGCCGTTTTGCCATATGAAGAAACAACACGTGAACAAAACACACCCCCCTCATCCGATATCTGGACGAGAGAAAGGATGCGAGACAGTTGAGTTCACGACGAAAGGGACCAACCAAAAATGCCGGTGTCAACTCAGAGGTGAGCCAAACGGCATCACCTGGGCCCCAGTTAAAATCCCGCCACCACCCCGAATTATCGGAGGAACCATACGAAGATTCCTCTCGTGCCGTTCATGCATTGTCATGGGACAACAACCGTTAGGGTCCGCAGCTGTCCAAAGCGCAGCTGTTGTACAAACGACAGCCTCAGCCTTCCCTTGTTGTTGCAGCTTCCGTTTGTGCGCACTGGCAGGTTGCAGGCAGAACCGATGCGTCCTTGATGCGTTATGCGCCAACCCTGGGCTAGGGCTAGGCCATCATGGCTAAAAAGCACTTAAAGTCGAAGAGGAATGCCAAAGCCGACGCGAAGGGCAAACCTTGAGTGAATATGATCCGGCGGCTTAACTCGGGGCCTGTTGGGCTACGTTGTTTCAACGTGTCTGCTAGCGGGCAGAGGCTGTGCTTGCAGGCGCGTGGGATTTCATCTCGCAGCTGCGCGCTGCATGTTTTTGCTTCGGGGGGTCGGCCTGTGCCATCAAGCCGGCGTTGGGGGGAGTTGCAAACAGACAGGGAGGGCGAGCTGACGAAACTCCAAATGTTGCCATGGATCTCTGGGATCTCTGAGTGGATAGCTTGGAACGCTACACCTTTCAAAACAATTAAGTCGCAACAAGCCAGCCCAAAGGCAGCGCCTGGATGCTGAGCGCATAGCTGGCATTGTTTTTTTTGTTTTTTTCGCTTGTGTCATGCAAGTGTGCTTATAAGCGTGCGCGCTGTCGTTTCTCATCATACATATTTTTTGGGAAAGAACCCTGTTTTGGGGGCACCCCTAACCCTTCCCCCCCTTTCTTGGTGGCGCCCCTAACCCTTTTCCCTTTTTGGGGGCACCCCTAACCCTTTTCCCTTCCCTAGCCGTTTTTGGGGGCACTGTGTCATGGCAACCCTGTAGAAGCCCGGTGGCCGCGTGTCCCCCCCCCAAAAAAAAACGAGGGGTCCTCGCCCACTTCCCTCGTTAAAATGTCAACTTGGGACGTTGGACGTTTGTTGGTTGGTGTCTTCCCCAAAACGGGGCTAGAGAAACTAAGGACTTTCGCAAGCGGGTTGTTTTCAGAAAATGACACCTTCGGGCACCTGACAAGTGTGTTCGGCATTTTGTTGGAGTGTATGTACTTAAATTTGGCAACCGGAATGCCAAACACACTTATTGACTTGTTTTGCTCCTGCACGACATAAAGCCCATGAAGCCTTCGACGTTCTTTGACTCGGGGGGTCTAAAAAGTTGCGAAGGTCCAGAGCCAAACCAAAAGTGTGCATTTGAGACTGGGGTCAGTTCTTTTCGGATCCCTGAAGCCGGACCCAGGCTTATTGAAAAAAAAGGGCTGGAATACGACATTTTCAGAAACTGCTGAAATTTTCTGATTCCGGGGAGCTGGAAACAGAAAAAAACAGAAAATCGATTTTTCTGATTCCGGAAAATTCCGGGGAGCTGGAATCAGAAAATGTCAGACAATTCCATTTTTTCTGATTTCGGGGAGCTGGAATCAGAAAATTTCAGAAAATCTGATTTGTCTGATTCCGGGGAGCTGCAACAGAACATTTCATATTTTTTCTGATTTCGGGGGGCTGAAATCAGAAAAAAAACAAGAAATTCAACCATGTTCTGATTCCAGGATTCCAGGAGCTGGAATCAGACAATTTCCGAAAATTTTGATTTGTTCTGATTCCGGGGAATTCCGGGAGCTGGAATCAGACAATTTCAGACCATTCCGCTTTTTTCTCAATTCGGGGAGCTGGAATCAGAAAATATCTGATTTTTTTGTTTTTTCCTGATCCCGGGAAACTTGAATTTTCTGAGGATACCGGGAGCTAGGGTCAGAACATTTCAGAAAATTGTGATTTTTCTGATTCCGGGGAGCTGGAATCAGACAATGTCGAAATTGTCTGATTCCCGAGAGCTGAATTTTCTGAAATTGTCTGATTCCAGAGAGCTGGAATCAGCAAAAAATCAGAATGACAATTCTGACTCCAGAGGGCTGAATCAGACATTTTCAAAAAATTATGCAATTGTCTGATTCCCGAGTGCTGAATCAGAAAATTTCAGAATTTCGGGCCAGCAAGTGTTTTTCAAGATAAGTGTTGCGAGCGTTCTTTTTACAAAAAAAAAGACTCACAACACTTGTTGGCTTGACATTTCGGGCGGCAGTCAGACAAATCTGATTCCGGCCCCGCCCAACTTTTTGATTCAGCTCTCTGGATTCAGAAAATTTCGGAATTTTCTGTTGTTTTCTGCTTCAGCTCTCTGGAGTCAGAAAGTTTCAGAATTTTCATGTTTTTTCCGATTCAGCCCTCGGGAATGTTTTTTTCTGAAATGTTCTGATTCAGCTCGGGGATCAGACAATTGCAGAATTTCTAGAAAATTCTAAAGTTTCTGATTCCGGGATTCCGGAAAAACAGAAAATTGCAGAAAAACATGTTTTTTCTGATTCCGGGGGGCAAAGACTTTCATTTTCTGGACAAAACAAGTAGGCGGGGCCGGAGTGGGAATTTTCTGATTGTGGTCCGACATTTTGAGCCAACAGGTGTTGTGGGCATTTTTCTGAAAGTCTCTGATTCCAGCTCCCGGAATCCCGGAATCAGACAATTTTAGAAAAAACTATAAATTTCTGAGTCCGGGGACAACCAAAAACTGAACTTTTCTGCTTTTTTGATTCCAGCTCCCGGAATCCTAGAATCAGAAAAAACAGTTTTTTCTTAAATTTTCTGATTCCAGCTCCCGGAATCCCGGAATCAGAAAAGGTCAGATTTTCTGTTTTTTTTTTCTGATTCCAGCTCCCCGGAATCAGGAAAAAACAGAATTGTCTGATTCCAGCTCCCCGGAATCAGAAAAATGAGAATTTTCTGAAACTTGATGATTCTAGCCGGAATCCCGGAATCAGACAATTTCAGAATTTCTGATTCCAGCTCCCTGGGTTCAGAAAAATGAGAACTGTCTTTGATTCCAGCTCCCGGTCGAAAAAGTTTGATTCCAGCTCCCGGATTCAGACAAGTTATGTTTTTCTGATTCCAGCTCCCGGTCAGATTTTGTTGATTCCAGCTCCCGGATTCAAATAATTTCGGAGTTTTCTGGATTTGCGTTTCTGATTCCAATGGGTTCAACAAATCTGACTGGGTAAAGAGTTGCTGCTGCAGACTCACGGTCACCCCATGTTAAGTGTGGTTGCGTGTTGTCATCTATCGGGCACATGTTTTGAAATAAGTGTGTACGGCCTTTGCTTTTGAAGAGTTGTTGGGCTCAAAAAACAAGGGAATCGGAAAACACACTTGTTGGGTCCAAAAACACCCCACTCACGAAAGTCCTTATAAGAGAAACACTCAGTTTGCAAATAAAAGTGTGGGAATCGGTTTTTTTTGTTTTTTTTTCGCAGCCGCGGTTTGGCGAGAAACAGCCGCGATTTGGCGAGAACAGCCGCGATTTGTAGGTCCCCTTTTTTTACCCGTGACAATGTCTGTTTTGGGGTTGTGTTGACAGGAAACTTTGTGGGAATTGTGTTTTTGTTTTTCCGCAGCCGCGGTTTGGCGAGAAACAGCCGCGATTTGGCGAGAACAGCCGCGATTTGGATTTGGCAAGAACAGCCGCGATTTGTAGGTCCCCTTTTCTTTATCCGTGACCATGTCTGTTTTGGGGCTGTGTTGACAGGAAACTTTCTGGTAATGGTCCAGGGGTCAGACACTATATTTGAGCTCGGGCATTCCTACAAATCATGGCTGGGCTCTACAAATCATGGCTGAGCTCTACAAATCACTGCATGCTCCGCCCTTTTCAACACATAGTTGGGCCTACAAAAAGTAGCTGATGTGATGCTACAAGACATAGCTGAGGCCTACAATCGCAAGTGCGTGAGAGAAGCACGCGTCCTAGTTGGTGACCCGTGGCATTTTGCTTTCAAGTGTAAATCCGTGTGGGGATTTCCACATGGCAAAAGGTGTAAGGACTTTCGTGAGTGGGGTGTTTTTGGACCCAACAAGTGTGAATGGCGCCTCCCTCTTCAAAAACAAAGGCCGTACACACTTATTGCAAAAATTGTGCCCGATAGATGACAACACACAACCACACTTAACATAGTGACCGTGAGTCTGCAGCAGCAACTCTTTACCCAGTCAGATTTGTTGAGCCCGTTGGAAATAGACAGATTGAAAAATCCAGAAAATTCCGAAATTATTTGAATCCGGGAGCTGGAATCAACAAAATCTGACCGGGAGCTGGAATCAGAAAAACATAACTTGTCTGAATCCGGGAGCTGGAATCAAACAAATCCGACCGGGAGCTGGAATCAAAGACAGTTCTCATTTTTCTGAACCCAGGGAGCTGGAATCAGACATTCTGAAATTTCCTGATTCCGGATTTTTGTTTGATTCTAGGATTCCGGGA